CTCTATTTATCCTTCAAAGATAACATTCCAGCTTTTCTTACATTCCTCCACACAATAGGATCTGATGCACATTGGTAAAGACAGTGGGAGGGGAAGGAGGCAATTGAAAGGAGAAACCACCACAATGGTTAAAGGTTGTAGGGTTGTGAAGATGGGCATTATAAAGTAATTTGGCCACTCAGAATCTCTGAATACTAGGTGTCATAAGGACACAGGGTGCCAGATGGCATTAGATTTAGAGTCGGATTACAAGAGGATGTTATCAAGAATTGAGTGCATGAAAAGCTACACTGAGTTAGAACGGGAGGATAAGGAGAGTAATGTGACATTGCTCATTACAAATACTGCACCACGTTCAGAAGGAGAAGGCTTCATCACGTTGAAATATATATATATTCATGTAACAACAAAGAAATCTACTGTCCAGAAGGGGGCCAGTTGGTCCATTGAGTCCGCATTGCCTCACAGACCAATGTTTATTTCCAGTCAGCATTAATTTCTGATCTAAAATATCAATTTATAATGTTCAGAAGCTTGTCGTCATGCAACAACTTGCAATTGTAGAGCGTATATCACGTAGGATGAAAGTGTTGACAAGCTTCATGAGAACAGGAGGGAAGAGAGGAGGCAAAAATTAAATGTGTTCTTTAATGGCTGAAGGCTCAAATACTGGTTGACAGTAGGAGCTGGAAATAGACCAGAATTGGAAGAGCAGAGGACGTGGGCAGAAGAATAGCACTGGAGGGGATTGCATAAGAGAAGTGAGAAGGGAAGAGAGAAGAGTCTCTCCCAGTGGCCTGGCTGGCATTTCCCCCAGCTAAAATTGGTCATTCACTTCAAGGTTCTTTGTAGAACATTGCCTTGTGCAAATTGGCTCCCACATTTGCTTATACTTACAGTAAATTCTGTGAATTGCTTTGAGATGTCCTCCCAATATGAAAGGCACTATTCCAAATGCAATAATTAATCTTGTAAGTAGGGAAGGGTAAGACCATGGAATGAATTGAAAATGTAAAACAACAACAACAAAATTAAATTTGTATAACGCCGTTCACATCGGGAGGCCATCCCAAGGCCCTGGACAATCAGAGTTTCGGACCCGAGCTGGGGATCGGGATTGGGGAGAGTGGAGGGCAGGGGGGGGGGAAGCAGGGTGATCGAAAGCATGATTGAAGAGGAGTGTCTTGAAATGGGTCTTAAAGGAGGCAAAGGAGGGGAAGAGGCAGAGGGACTGTGGGATGGAGTTCCAGAGGGTAGGGACAGAGTTGCAAAAGGCTTGCCTGCCAATGGTGGGGTGGGTGAGGCGGGGGACGTGAAGCTGGCTGGAGCCCACTGATCGGAGGGAGCAGGCAAGTTGGTAGGTAGTTAGGGGGTCACAGAGGTAGAGGGGAGCAAGACCATGCAGGGCTGTGAAGGTGAGGAACAGGATCTTGAACTGTATTCTCTGTGTGATGGGAAGCCAGTGGAGTCGAGTGAGGATGGGAGTGATAGGGTTATGGAGCTTGGTCCAGGAAAGGACAAGGGCTGCAGAGTTCTGGATGGTCTTCAGACTATGGAGGGAAGAGTTGGGGAGGTCGACAAGCAAAGAGTTTGCATAGTCAAGCCTCAATGTAATGAATGTGTGTATGAGGGTTTCGATGGCCTGTAGTGTGAGATCGTAGTGGAGGTGGGGGAAGGCAGGATGTGTGGTGGAAAGGATAATTGAGGGTCAAACAAGATGCCAAGTTTCCGGACTGGCTTAGCAAGGTGGAGTGTGCATCCATGGATGGTGATGCTGTCAGCGCCTGAGTTGTGGATGCAGAAGCCAATCAGGAGGGCTTCAGTCTTGTTGACGTTGAATTGAAGAAAGTTAGCCTCATCCAGGAGTTGATGTCTGACAGACATTCTGTAAGGACAGCAGTGGCCTGGAGTCAAAAGTGGAGGCAGAGAGATACAATTGGGTGTCATCCACACACATGTAGTGGTTGACCCCATGTCTGCGGATGATGTCACCAAGAGGGAGCATATAAATATTGAAGAGGAGGGGACCAAGGACAGAGCCCTGAGGAAGGCTGCATGAGACAGTGCGGGGGCTAGAGGAGAAACCGTTTGTGGAGATGAAGTGGAGGCGGCGTGAAAGGTACGATCTGAACCAGTCAAGGACAGAGTCATGAAGGTTGAGGTGAGAGGAGAGGCAGTGGATGAGGATAGAGTGGTCAACGGTGTCGAAAGCAGCAGAGATGTCAAGGAGGACAAGGAGGCAGACGGAGCCCTGGTCGCAGATGGACAGAATGTAATTTGTCACTTTGACCAGGGCTGTGTCTGTGCTGTGGGCGGCACGGAAACCTGATTGGAAGGGTTCGTAAAGGGAATGGTGGAAGAGGAAGGAGAGAAGCTGGGAAGCAACAATTCATTCCAGGACCTTGGAGAGGAAAGGGTGGTTGGAGATGGGGTGGTAGTTTGAGAGCAGTGATAGGTCCAGAGAGGGTTTTTTAAGGACAGGAGTGATGACGGCTGTTTTTAATGGGTGAGAACAGTACCAGTGGACAGGGAGAGGTTTATGTTCTCTGTGAGTAGAGGGGCAAGGAGGTGGAGCTGGGAGGTAAGGAGAGGAATAGGGATGGGGTTGAAGGAGCGGGTGGTCGGTTTCAAAAATGTTATCCCCACTTGTAGCCCTGGTTGTAAATCTTCTCTTTCTGCTCCTGTAAGTATAACCTTTGGAATTTATCTTATGTGGACAATTGAGTGCGAGGATGTAACTAGGAATCTACAAGATTCCATCAGCTTGTTGTTTCAGTGGTTTGGTGCTGCTTGAACAACAGAAAGGTAATCAGATAAAATTCTTTGCACTTTTAATTCCTTTCAAAATAGGTTCAAATTCCAGACAGCAGATCATGTGTCAACTAATTCATGATAACACTGTTCAATTCATACAAAAGTTGCCTAATCAGTCTCTTTTGAGATGATGGATAATCTAGCTGACCTTTTGTTTCAAATCTCATTGACAGCATTAGGAATTACTGCACAACAACAAAAAACTGCAATGAAGGCAAGTTTGGTTGTTTTTTACACATGAAAAGAAGTGGAAAATCTAAATCTCTGAAGTATATTTTCTATTTCACCCCAATCTGTGATTCTTGGAGAATGGTTAAAAGTTTAATTGGGCAATATTAAAAATCTGTTGTAAGTAATTACTTCAGAATCTCAGCTTTAGATCATTAGTAAATTCTCCTTGGGGGAGGGTAGGCGGGGGCTCCTTGAAGCTGAACTGGCTCCAAGGTGACATGGAAAGTCGGAATCAAGCTAGCCTTCTGTGGCAGTCTCGGCGGTCGGTTCCTAAGCCAGGGATCAGTGCAGTACTCTAGGACAATGCTGACGACAGCACAACCAGCTTGGCTCCTCTGCAGGACCTGGAACAGTAGACCAGTCACTGGAGGCAGGGAATCCTCCCACTCAACTCCTGATAATCCTGCAAGCCAAAACCTTAAGGGGTAGGGTGGTCCTTGGTGGGCAATCAGAGGGAAAGCTTGACAGACAGCGCTGTTATTGGCCAGCTATATGGTTTTAGCTGGTTAGACTCCAGCAGTACCCCAGTGCACACTCTGGGGTCCCCAAGCCTTGGCTCTTGCCAACCTGTGCCTAATACTTTCCGGAATTAGGTAAGCGGATGTATCCCTCCAGGGAGAGAGTGTGCATTCCATTCCAACAATATATCTCAGGAATTTCCATGGAATGCGTGGAATTCTCAGTTTGGTTAAGTATGGTGATGAGTTTCCGCATGTGTCAGACATCCAGCTGACCTCCAAAAAAATTGCTAAATGGTGATGGAGCCCTCTAGTGGTGTAGTAAGCAAATGCATTTTTGATACTATATTATAAGGTTGAAGAATGCACAAACCTTTTCTGCCAGTGGTGAGTGTCCTAGCCTTCATCATTCTCCTGTTAATTACCCTCTGGGTAAATAATTACTTCTGGGTATTTGTCCTGAAATTGCCCTTTGTAACTGCCAGCTTGTTCCACTGTTTTGGTGCCTCTTAAAATATTGTTCTAGTTTTACTTTAATCCTATTAAAGGATAGGCCAAACTGGACATAGAGAAGAGAGGCATGTCACCTTGGAGCCAGTTCAGCTCCAAGGAAACCCCACTTACCCTCCCCTAAGGAGAATTTACGAATGATCCAGAGGCCAAACTGGACATAGAGGAGGTAACTACTATCCCACATTCCATAAACCTCCCTTAAAAAAGAATAGATTGCAAGAATCTTTCTATGTGCCATGACCAGTTTTAGAGTAAACCATGTGTCCTTCAAATGGTTCCATCCCTTTTAGACAGATCATAGCATCCTTGTATTCAGAATGGCTCTTTTCAGCAGAAGTTCTCTCCCAAGAGCACAATCTGAAGCACAGGCAAGCAAAGCACATACTAGAAGTTAAGGTCGGCATTAAAACCTCTCCCTCCCATCACCCCCCAGTTCTGATGAAGGGTTATAGACCTGAAACGTTGAACCACTTTCCTTTCTCCACAGATGCTGCCTGACCTGCTGAGTGTTCCCAGCTTTTGCTTTTGTACTAGAAGTTAAGCCTTGCCATGATTGTCTTAAAGTTTTATACTTTGCAAGCTTTGCAGGAGATGGTAGTTTCAAACCAAAACTTTGAGAATCGAAAGGATGCTGAGAATAATAGTACAGTATTTCTCGCCTACCTGTGATATCAACTTCTTGACCCAGTCACACATATGATGAACACAGGGAGAAAGCAGATGTTCCATTGGATCCTGGCTAGGGCGATGTTTATAGTTAGAATCCGTTCTTGTGAGCTTCAGCATTGTCTTATTAACCTGTTGTTCAAGTGTAGGCAGGAAAAACATTTTGGAAGAGCCCAGGGCTCAGGAAAGTACCAGACAGATGGCTGAGAGGGAGACTGAAAGTCACCACATTGTCATTAATCTTCTGAATGCTTTCCTTTCGATCTATCAGTGTGACCCATCGAGGAAGATCTCTCTCTGGCATCCAACCCATGGCCACAAACTATTCCTTGCTGCAAGGGTATGTTGGGATGAGGAGATTGACCTTTACCACATGAATGAAGGTAGGAACAGAACTTTACTTCAAGTACTAGAACGTGGACTGATACCTCAACAACTTCTATGTCTCATTACTTTCTATCAGTGGAGCGATGCTGAAGAGCTACTACAACAACAACCACTTGGATTTATATAGCGCCCTCCACGCCGGACGGTGTCTCAGAGTGCTTCACAGAATCACAGAAGGTGCCGCATAAAAGTTTAGTCCAAAAGATAAGGACCGATGGAATTGGGGGGGGATATTAACGTGGATTGGGGAATGGTTAACGGGTAGGAAACAAAGAGTAGGGATAATTGGGTCCTTTTCAGATTGGCGGGATGTGACTAGTGGAGTGCCACAAGGATCAGTCCTTGGGCCTCAGCTATTTACCATCTACATCAACTATCTAGATGAGGACATCGAAGTTAATATATCTAAATTCGTGGATGACACAAAACTAGGAGGAAGTGTCAACACAGAGGACGACATTAAAAAAATGCAGCGAGACATAGAAAGGTTAGATGATTGGGCAGGTAGGTGGCAGATGAAGTATAATGTAGGGAAGTGCGAAATCATCCACCTAGGTAGCAAAAACAGTAGAGCGGGTTATTTTTTAGAAGGGGAGAGATTGGAATTGGATTATGTTAGCATCCAGAGGGACTTGGGTGTCCTTGTACACCAATCACAGAAAGTTAGTCTGCAGGTGCAGCAAGCAATGAGGAAGGCGAACGGTATGTTAGCATTCATTATGAAAGGATTAGAGTATAAGAGTAGGGAAGTCTTGCTGCAACGGTATAGGGCCCTGGTGAGACCACACCTGGAATACTGTGTCCAGTTTTGGTCTCCTCATTTAAGGAAGGATGTACTTTGCCTTGGAGGGGGAGCAGCGTAGATTTACTAGGTTAATACCAGGGATGAAGGGGATGAGTTACAAGGATAGGCCTATATTCTCTAGAATATAGAAGAATTAGAGGGGATCGTATAGAAACCTATAAGATCATCAAAGGGCATGATAGAGTAGATACTGGGAGATTGTTTCCCCTGGTTGGAGAAACTAAAACTAGGGGTCACAACCTTAAAATCAGAGGCCAGCCCTTTCACACTGAGTTGAGGAAGAACTTCTTCACTCAAAGGGGGGTGAATGTATGGAACTCCTACCCCAAAAGGCTGTTGACGCTCAGTCCTTGAACATATTCAAGACTGAGATAGATAAATTTCTTATTGCAAAAGGGATTAAGGGATATGGGGATAAGGCAGGGTTAGGTTATTAGCTGGAGTTAGATTAGAAGATCAGCCATGATTGAATGGCGGGGCAGGCTCGTAGGGCCGAATGGCCTACTCCTGCTCCTACGTGTTATGTTATGTTAAATTTACAGCGCAGAGGGAGGCCATTCAGTCAATATACACCAGCACTTCAGTGCTGACATCATAATAGGACAAACTCATACACAACTTTGAAGATAGCTGATTGCCTAATGCTTTGAGCCCTTCATATTGTAGTTCTCTTATTGTAGTCATACAGGATTGTTTAATTGTTAAATCAGATCATGTTTGGTGCAATATAACAATTGTAGTTATTTTACTGTGTGCTAGACAAACTCTTCAGTCTTGAGAGAAAATGACTGCGTGGGGATCTTATACAGGTGTGTAAATGTTTTGGCCACATAGTTCATATTCTTTATCTGGCACAGTCCAGGCTATCTCTTGACTGATTTTCCAAGTCTTGGAATGAAGGAGCACTGATCAGTCTAGCATGAAAACTATAGCAAGTAACCAGTGTAGAAATAACATAATTTTCTTTCATCAAAACTGTCAATCCATGATATCTGTCTCTGATGCAATCTCAGTGTCCGACTATCCTCCTAGAAAGGGTAAGGGTAAAGGGTTCTCTTTGAGGCTGAGCTAGCTGGTTTTAAGTTGAGTTTGAAACCTTGATGATTTCCCTCAATGGTTAATCAAAGTTATCTGTCATAAACTGAGCCAGAGTAAGAAAGTCCCTGGTTTCATTTCTTGGCTATTGTGAGTTGTTCTCAACTTGGATAGCAGTATGAGTGTTACAATTGGACCTGGGTTATATAAGGAAAAATCATATAGCTGTCGTATGGGTTTATATTCAATGTAAAGCAGAGGCAGAGAGATGGGAGTGACAGAGACACAAATGCATGACTGTGTGTCTAGTGGGAGCTTCTTCACCACTTGTGCCAGCAAATTGTCAGCCATTGTTCACAGCATCCTCAAGAATTCACCCTAATGTAACATCACTCTTTTGTTTTAAAGAAATGCATAATTATTGTACAGAGGTTGAAGATAAGAAACTAATTACTGAAGCAGATGTTGAATTAAAAGTAATTAGTTATATGAATAATAGTAATCCATCTCGAGTGCAAATTCCCTCAAAGATTAACTGTGTGCTTCAGAAAGGCTTCAAGCCAATACTTAGAAACCAAATCTTTTCAAAGCACATAAATTAAACTTTAGATGACAGCCTGGCTCAGTTGGTAGCACTTTTGCCTCTGAATCAAAACATTGCTGGTTCAAGTTCCACAGGCTTGACTTCAGGAATTTGAATGGACAGTCCAGGTACAGTGCTGGGTGTGTGCTGCATTGCTTAAGGTGTCATTCTTTGGATGAGACATTAAACCAATGTCCCATCTGCTTGTTCAGGGAGACATTCAAAATCCATGGAAATATTCAGAAAGAGAAAGGAGTTCCCCCCAATCCTGCCAACAATCTCCCCAAGACTAAAATTGGTAGCTCACTTCATGGCTGTTTGCAGAACATTCCTTTGCATAAATTGATTGCCTCATTTGCCTACACAAATACAATCACAATACCTTACAGTATATCTTGTGAAGCATTTTTAGATGCCCTCTCGACTTGAAAGGCAATACATTAAATGCAAGTATTAATATTCAAGTGTGCTGGTCTGAACAACACAATATATGGAAGACAATTGCGGTCCAAGGTATATACGAGGAAGATGCCTAAAGTAATGCCTCCTTTCTATTTTCTCAAAATTCTTTAATTATTAACTTACAAAACTTAACACAAAATAAACTTTTTTTAAATGCACCAGTGCAGTTATTTTTCCACAAAGTGACCATCACCATCAAGTGGAGGCCTGTAGTTTAGTGGTTAAAGCACTTGCCTCGCAAGCAAGAGGACCTGGATTATTAATGCGTGATCTTTGACAGTGAACGTTGTTACTTGACTACCATAGGGACGTTGAATCAACATTGTACAAAATATACAGTGAATAGCTCTTTACACTTTACAATCCTGTGAATTGCTTTGAGGTGTCCTCCTGATACCATATCAAATGCAAGGATTATTATTGTTATTTAAATTAAAATATGTGAATTGGAACAAACATACAATTACAGATTTTGTTCATATTTAAGTTACATTCTGTAATAACACAATGTTATAATTACAATATAATAGTAGAAAAGCAGGAAAAATCAAATAAGCTCAATATTAGACGTGAAGCTGAAACAGTTTTAAAATGAGATAAAGTATAGGTAATAAAATACTCCTTATCTGAAACTTCTGCTAAATAATAGCAGCTACAATGTTGAGTCAGTGAGTATTTGGTTAAAGCAAATAGAGTCAATATTAACTTAGGTTACAGTAAGTGTTAGGTTAAAGCAAGTTCCCTCAGTAAAACACATCTTGACAACGATGATAATTTATGCAGGATGGATGCAAAATGCAGGTGCTTTTTGGGCATTTTTATAGTCTTTATTGCACCACATAAAAATGAAATGAAAGACTGCATTTTGCGAGTAAAATATATTTCTTAATTTTCAAATGAATATTCTGAAAAATAAAATTTGGTCTGGCTTTGATAAAGAAACAATTCTTGCAGGCACTAGCTTGGACCTCTATAGATATTGTAGAGGACTCTGTGCAATGGGAATGGTCTGTGCAATTTCTGCAGCGCTTCCTGAGAAGTGGATACTGGAATCTCCTGGGAGAGGCAGACAGATGTTTGTGTTTGCATATTTCAGAATCTGCTGGACAAGCCTGAAGACAACAGAGCAGCAGTAGTGTCTTAAGTGCTATATTGACATGTTTTTAAAACCGCTTGAGATGGCATTGACTGTAAGAATTACTTCCTTTTCAGCTATTTATATATACATATGTTATATATAATGCAGATATTTATATGAAATCAGTTAACGGTGGTGTGTATATGTTTGAAGTTACCTAATTGTGTTTGTTCTGCAGGAATTATATTTGGGAATTAGTATTATGAAACATGGAAAACCATTGAAGCAATTCCTTTGAAATGTTTCCTAAAAATAATAATAAATAATAAATAATACAAACAAAGAAAACATGTAGGCAGAATATGGACTTTGTATGTCTGCTAGATGATTAATAGAAAGGTTGAAAAATGGTGATGTTTAAGACTGCACCATTATATTTTCTTTTTCACCGTGAGAAAGAGGTATGCTGTACATAGAAGTAGATACATGTTGTGTAGCTTAGTCTTGAAAATAACCTCTACTTGATTCCAGTGTTAGATATTGGCGAGACACAAATATTTATTTTTCCTAAACCACCTGATCAGTACGAGTATTCTGCTTGTACAATGCAAATACTGTAATGCTGAGAGCTGGATCTGACAGAAGCACCAAAGCAGAGAGAGGCTGGCTGCTTCTGGAGTAGCACTGTGCAGGGAGCATGTTGGCTGTCAGATGGGTTAACATAGCATTGAGTTAATGAGGATGGATTGCAAGCAGTCACAGAGCATGTTGCAGGAAGACATGCATGTCGTTTGGCTGCGCATTAGTACCTTTAGACAATACTGGAATGGGTGTAGCTTGGCATAGAGTGTGCGGAGGGTTGGAACTGTACACAGGGAGACATGAATAGAACAGTGACTTCACACACAAGAATGTAATCATGCGATCTCGTGGTGTCTGAGCAGCCTATTTATGATGGCTAACTGACTGATAGATATGGTATGTGTCCAGTGTTTATGTAAGTTGCTTAACATTGTTTGTAATGCTGTTTGGGGGCATACTCGTTGGTCTGGCTGCAGAGTCCTGCTGTTGTAAAGACAATACTATACATTTCAGCACATTAGCTCAGTGACAGCCCAAGCTGGGGTTCCGAAGGTGAGGCTGTGCAACAGGGCACAGCATAGGAAATATTAAGATCTGATTAACTGTGGGGTTTCCGTATAGTGTTGTTGTGTTAAATGTAATTTTGTATTGAATTGTCTTTGGCGCAAGGATGATTTGCATTATTACTTTAAACATTAATGTATTTTAAGAGTGGGATAGGAGTCACAGAGTTCAGGATAATACTGTCATAAGTTACATGATGCATTTCAGTTCCTAAGGAACTTGGAGACGTGGACAGTGCCATGTTTGGCTGGTTCTAATGTACCTACTGACAAGGAATGGGATATATCTTGGGGTACAGGAGTGTTTGGCTTTGAATGTCGTGTTGTCCCTGTGGTATTATGCAGGTATCTTGTGAAGAGTATGGACTTTTCCTTGAAGCAGTTTAGTTGTCCGTTGTTGTGTTATTGTTGTGCCGTGCAATGTGCTGTGCATTCCATCATGGACAACAGTGTAGTGAGATCATGCTTTTTAGGTAGTATCGCCTAGGCCTAGGGAAGGATTTAAACCATTTAATTTCTGAGTTTCTTCCCGTTGATTCTGAAGATACAGTCTTTGAACAGTTGCCAACAGTACTTCAGGATCTCAGCTAAAGGCCAATTTTCTTATGCAAACCCCATTGTGCTGAAACTCTTATCATCATCACCTCAACAATAGATTTTGCCATTGCTCACCTCTCTGACCTCTATAGCTCCACTTTCAGAAGCATCAATTGATCCACAATTCTGCAGGCCAAATTCTCTCTCCACATGGTTCTGTACACCCATCACCCCATCGAACCCAAGCTCCATTGGCACTCAGTACTGCAGAGAATTGAATTTAAGATTGTTGTTCTGCCCTTCAAATCCCTTCAATGCCATGCCCCATGCTGGGATGCTGGATCCATTCAAACATTAAAATTTTCAAGACTGAGGTGGATAGATTTTTGTTAGGTAAGGATATCAAGGGATATGGGGCGAAGGCGGTTATTTAGAGTTGAGTTACGGATCAGCCATGATCTAATAGAATGGAGGAACAGGCTTGAGGAGCTGAAGGGTCTACTCCTGTTCCTGTGTTCCGATCTGTCAAGCTTACCCAGCCCAATGTTGCAGCCTTTATCTTCTGTTGTTTTGACTTTGATTTCTTCCACAGTTCCCGTTCCGCCCAACTCTCTTTGCTCCATGATCAGTTATGGAGTCTTTGATCATCATGCTCCTGTCCTGTGGAACTCGGTTCCAAAACTACTTTGCGTTATATCTTCTCTCCCTACTTCAAAATCCTCAAAAAATCCCTATCTCTTTACGGGGCTTTTGGTCAACATTGTTCGATCTATTATTTTCCTCCACACCATCACATTTGTCAAGCACTTTGATGTTCCTTTACATGAAAGGTGCTATGTAAATACAATTTGAGTTTAAATAGTGAGTGTCAGTGCGTTATTTAACTATGTGTGGCATCCTGACCTGATCAGACATCATTATCCACATTTTCTAACTGGATGGCAAGCAGGAGTAGGAACCATACCTCGTGTATTTCCATTAGTTAGCTTATTTTAGCACTGAAGATAATGGTTGCACTTTAAATGCTGCTTTTCCATCACTTTGAGCCTTGGATGTTCTGGCCTGCTACTCTATGCACATTGCTTTTACCCACTTAAACCATTAGGAAATCTATATGCTCATTTAAAATAAATATCACTAAAAATATATTGTATTCATTCATTATTAATAGATTGTCCATTATAGAAGACTAAGGGAGATACTCATGACTCATGGTTAAGTTTTAAAGCAGCATAAGACATTAGTTAAATTTAAACTGTGCAAAAATATTAGGTTACATTTGCCGGTTATTTTAAATGTTGTGTGAAGTGATAGGAAGTTAACGGCTCTTTTGAAACAACTTTAAATAAATGGATAGATGGTTTAAATCCCTCCCTAGACCAATTGAAGAATCTATCTCACTGCCTGAAAATCCTGACCTCGCTGCACTGTTGTCCACGGTAGTATGTTTTGTTCAAGTCCAGTTTTGCCAACTATATATGTACCATAACTCTGTTGGTGTAGCGGTCAATCCATGAAAGACATGACAAAATTCAACAGGCCTGAAGCTTTTGGCGATGACTTCCTCTTCTCCTTTCTCCTGGTTCCCAGCCACTCAGAATTTCTTATTGGCAGATGCTGCAATGTGGGACATCTCATTTAATCTTGCAATGGTCTGTTTTCTGTGCCGCAATGACATTTGATGCTAGCTTCTATGACCATATAGAGTACTCTAGTCAGGCTGCACCTTCAATACTGGATACAGTTCGGGTCGTTGTGGCATAAAGAGAGCAACCAGATCTTAAAAGCAATTCCTGTCTGATCCCAATGTTGAGATCAGCATTGAGGAATGACTGGATAAAACAGGTGTCTGTAGCTTTGAACAAACAACAACTTGCATTTATATAGCGCCCCTCATGAAGGGTAGCGTTCCAGAGCGCTTCAGACGCAAAGGCACCTCAAAGGAAACAGTAAAGATGCTAAATGGGCTAGAGAAAATAAACGCATGATAATATTTTAGGATAGACAAAGGCAGCAGGACAAAAGTGCGCAGGTTCAGGGTTGTGAAGGACAATTATAGGATAGACACCAGGATATATTTCTTTACACAGGGCAGTCATCAACAGCTAGAACAGACTATTAGGAAGAGTCGGTGAGGCCAGGAGAGAGTTGGGTTGAGAAGCATGAGATGAAGTAGGCTGAAGATCCCTTTTCGCCTGAATCAATCTTTTGAAGTATACTGAAAAAACTGGAGACTGTGAAGCAGATTTAGAAGAACCAACAGATAAACTCTAGTTCAGTGTTCATCATTTTAATTGGAATGTTATTTGCAAAAGGAATTGCATTATATTCACACACAAACGCTTAAATTGTTTTCTAATATTTCAAACGTGTTAAAAAAATCACTTCCATTACATAAACGAATGATGTCAATAAATTTATTTTGAGGGCATTGGCAACACTGCAGATAATGATTTTTAAATTGTTTCCTGGTTAAACATATTGCATTGCACTTTAAACATTGAAACATTGAAACTTTCCTTTCAGCTTTCCTTTCATGGAGTATTTAAAAACACAGGCTTTGTCTTTGTGATTGGGACTGGGCAAACTTGCTCAGCTGCTTTCTGACAGCATTGATCAGAAATGCACTGAGGAGTGTTCCACCCTGCCTGTACTGACACGGCTGTGTCTGGCCTTGCTTTTAACAGACTCACAGTGATAAAAAAACAGCTTCAGATGCTCCTTCAGATACTCCGAACCTACTGTGATCGGATCATGTGTTTATACAACATCTGTGAAATTGATGCTTTCTGTTTTACAACATGATCAGAGGCTTCAGTGCAAGTGAATACAGCATGATGAGATTATTAATACTGTAAGAGCTTGCATCCTTGAAGCACGGGTACTGGCTAGCTAGAGGAAAGCCTGGATTGCAAGGTTAGTAGTAGAATGTGAATTATCATCGCAGAACATTTTCTACCTGACCTTAGATGTGGGATTGAGACACAAAAGGCTCAATCATTGTAAAAATCTGCCAGGCATTTTGCTGAGCCAGTTGTCTCGGTAATTATGTTTTGCTCCTTGAAATGAAAGATGTCAAAAGATGTAATTTAATCCGCTTAGAATCAATGATCATTTTACAGCATCATTTGAGTTGCACAGTGATAACAAAGACATTGTTGTTGTGTATGCTATTAAAATTCTGCAGAATGTAGGCAGTCTGCTGGCTCGTTTGGCTGAGCCCTTCTATGACATTGAAATTGCTGGAATTTCCTGTTTAAGGTAGCTTCAAATCCTAGCAATTGGTTACTGTCTCAGCCAGTCATAACTGTCTTCTTTGAATATTTGCACAGGCAAATTTAGCTCTTGAGAGCAGTATTCCTTCCTACAGCTGTTGTGTTGTATGTCAGTTACCAGATCGTGTGCTCAGCAGCACAGGGCCGTTCGTAGTCTAATTACAGCTGAGACAATTACTAAACCAGGAACCACCATAGGGACAGGTAGCTAGCTTCCCATTAGGATCTCCCTTTCAGACAGTTATTAACAGCTACTGTTAATCACGGAGCACTAACTTTGCAGAGTGACTCTGGTTTGGATTTGCTTGAACAGTACAGCAGGTAAAATATAACGTCAAATCTTGAGGTTTTATACACGTAACATATTCAGTCACTAACAGATTCTATCAATTTTACACAGGCTGAAGATAATGGCCACTGGCTCCAATGTCTGAGGATGATCAGAAAATTCCGCTATTATTTCCAGCATCCATGGAGTCGCCTGTGTGTGGCCTACTTGGTGATTTTCTTAAATTTCCTCATTTTTGCCGAAGATCCGCTTTCACACAGTCAGACTCAGGCCCGGGTAATTGTCGTTGGAAACTGCTTCTCCTTTGTACTAAATAAATACCCCAAAGGAGGATGGATCATCCTAAAGGTGCTGCTGTGGCTACTGGGCATTGCCGCTGGGCTGCTAGCAGGAAAATTCCTCTTCCATCAGCAAATGTTTGGTAAGTTATGATGAACGAATTGCCTTGAATTCTCTCCCGTCGCTATGGAAACTGTTCCATGCTACCAGCCAAACTGAGAGCAAGACCAGAACGGATTTCCTTTTATAAATATGATTAGATTAGTATGCCTTGTGTGCTATTTGGGTGTCAACTGCTTCTTTGGCCATTCACAAAATGCAGCGTGATAATCTGTAAGAAGATTAAAGGGAGAATTTCTATTGAGTCAATTTGTAGTCTTAAATCTTGACTACAGTTCAATTAAATTATGTTACTGACTTCCTCGACAAATTCAATAGCTTCACTGCAGGATGTAGATAATACAATTTCTTTTTTTATTATTATTGCTAGCACAATTTACTGGAAAAGTCAATATAAATTTGGTAAAATTACTAAGACGCTTCGCATATTGCCTGAAAATCTAGGAAATCGTTCAAATTTGGCAATTCATTTGCTCTGTTATTTTTGGCATTACTATGGATTTTTTTTACACCATGTTTGATTTATTTAATTTAAACATGAATTACACTTCAGTCCTTTTTCATAGTATTTTTTCTGGTTAGTTTTTTCCTCTTACCCTGAAGATGCCAACTCTTGAGCTGACACCAAACACTATGAAATATGTCACTCAACTGCCTGCTGTTCATGTATGTCCTGTAGCTCAGTGGTTAGAGCAGTTGCCTCAAAAGCGAGAGACCTGGGTTCGATTCCTAGCAGGGCGAAACCTTGGGCAAGTTTCCACACTCCACATGTCTAATAATAATCACTCAAGAAAATAAAACAATAATAAGTTGGTCACTTCAATCCATGACTGTTTGTTGGACACTGCTGTGCTTCACCCACAAATATACAGTCAATTCACTTTATGTTCTGTGAAGCGCTCTGGGATGTCTAGAAGACGTGAAAAGTGCTATATCAAATGCAAGTATTATTATTATTATTATGGTGATGATGTGTTTGGATAGTGAGTGTCAGTGGGCTATTTGACTCCCTTTGCTCAGCGGGCTCCAGCCTACTTCACGTCCCCTGCCTCGTCCATCCCACCATTGGCGGGCGGCCTTCTGCCACTCTGCCTTTATCCTTTGGAATGCCATCCCGCAGTTCCTCTGCCTCGCCCCCTTCCTTGCCTCCTTCAAGACCCATCTCAAGACCCTCCTCTTTGATCGTGTTTCGATCACTATCCCCTGCCCTCCACCCTGCCAATGCTGCCCCCAGCTTGGGTCCAAAACAATGACTGTCCAATGCCTTGGGATGTCCTCGCGACGTGCAAGGTGCTATATACATGTAATTTTGTTGTTGTTGTTTGAGGGAAAGTGCAGGAGAAAATCAGAGACATAAGCAGTGTCTGGAAGAATTTCCTTTTTGAGTTGTGCCATGGTGTCTAGGATGTCCACTTTAACAAGTAGACAGATCTTCGATTTAATGTTTCATTGAAAAATCTGTATCTAGAACAGTGCAGCATTCCTCAGCACTACACTGAAGTGCCATGCCAGCTTCAAGTCTTGGTGCTTGAATCTATAGTTGTGTTTAAGAAGAGAGGGTGCTACTAATTGAGCCAGAAGACAAGAATACTGCCAGTGAATATGAAAGTGAATAAGCAGCCCATTGGAATTCTTTAGCGACAAAGGATGCTGTAAAATGACACTGATAAGATTTAGATTAGGATTTGTTTTCTGGCTATTGGTAGGTTGCATGGTTTCTTTCCAAGACTTAAATTTATGTACATTTGTCACATTCTCACTAGAAATGTAGCTGTAGCCATTTGAAGCATTCTGCAGAGATTTTTCAAGCCTCCCAACCCCTGTGCGATCCCCATCTCACCCTTTGTCAGTGTTAAGGCCTAATCAGTGGGAGGGGAATTCCTGACACATGAAGGAAACCTAAAAAGGATTCCTATAAATGGAGTCCCTGGAAAGGCCCAACTACTTAAGCAATAATCTGCTTCCTCAGAACAGCTTCAGGCATGTGAAGGGAGGCCTTCCATCTGGGTCTAGTTTACACTATTTATCACTTCAGAAGGTGAAATTTGTTAATGCAGTCCTAAATTTGAAGCTGTTTTTCTGCAGTTCTGAAGAACGCTTAAAAATTAAGACTGAATTTAAGACCGAAATTGCACCAAAAATTGTTTTGAGTCTGGACCTAGGTTGACATTTTGGAGAGTAAGGCAGTAACTTTATGGGGTGCTTTTCTGAGCATTATTGATTCTTTCATTGTTTCTCCCAATTACTTAGATGTTCACTTCCACCTGTGCTTCTTAAACACACAACTGAAAGGTGTTGCTGTACTTTGCAAAGTGCAATCCGGTGTAATGAGAAAATGCTTGGATGCTTTATCTTGGATGAAAATGCTTTATCCCCTATCCGATTTCCTTTATTCCTCCCTCTCCTTAGTTCTTCCCATCTCCTCTGAAGTACGTTCCTGACTTATGGTGGGGTGTGGTTCCTTGCCACAGTGATCATTCATCAGGTGTTAGCCAAGCCTGGGATATGACAATGTCATTCTCAATCTTAGAGCTTTTAATTTGCCGATGCCCTTTCTTTGGAATCCTGTAGCTTATTGGTTTGAGCACTTTCCTCATAAGCGAGTGGTCCTGGGTTTGATCCCCGAGCACCCCCAAAAGATATGTCCATGACACTCCCCCATGCAAGACCTTTCTGATGAGGTATAAATCATGTCTCCATGTCAATTATTGCGTTCTTGGTGGACAGACAGACAAACAAACATTTTGTTTTTATTAGTATATAGAAGTATGGCAACCCAGGCATCTCTTCAGCCTCTAGGTGTCATTTCACTTTGTTCTCTCGGACACAGAAACTCTCAGTAATATCCATAAACAATACTGATTATTTGTGAAGTCACTACACTTAAGTTGCGGTGATTTTTGACAATTTGGCTTATTTTACAGTGCATTTTACCACCTCTCAGTCAAATGAAAATGCATCAATAGAGCCTAATCTACTATTTCTTCATTATTTTGAATCGATGTTCTCTCCCTATGTCGCTTTAACTTGATGATATGAAACTTCAGATCCCCACGTTTTAAACATTACCTTAAGACCTATCTTTGCCCGCACCATCCTCAGCTACCCCACATCCCAGATCAGTTGTCCAATCAGCTGTTTGAAGAATTTTGAGACATTTTTTCTGATGTGGAAATTGTGATATAAATGTAAATTAATTTTATAATAGTTGTCAAATTTCTTAGTTTAAAAACTTCTCAAGTCAGTGCATGGGGAAATAGCTTTAGGTCTCTTTGTATTTTTTTGAAAGGTTAATTTTTGTGGCTGTTGTTTCAGGTTATAAAATATTTATAAAATAAACAAAGGGAAAGATCACTGGGATTTGAGAGAAGCTGGAATGTAAATCAGAGCAAATTATATGGGGGCAAGTGTAGTGTTCATGTGGCCTCTGTTGAGTTTTATTTCAGTAAGGATACACAGGATGTTTCCTCGGAAACAATTTAAAACAATCCAATTGACAGCAGCTGCATAATTCCGGAAAGCCTCAAACACATGTGATACCCTGGTAGCAATATTACAATGAATGTTGCTATCAGATTGCAAGCTCTGGTCCGAGTAATTTTGTTCATCATCTGCTGGTTCTTAAAAAACACTGGAGTCTATCATGCATAAACACAATTAATTTTACAGTTAATTTTCTTCGCTGACCCAGAGCATTGAGGCCAATTGCTGTGCCCTCTTGTCCACTCCTGTTAAGATCAGCTAACTTAGTACTGAACACTTGAAGTGTCATGCAGCACTTTCACTTCTGAGTCATAAGGCTATGGGTTCCAAGCCCCATTTCAGGACTTTGAGCTCACATAGTCTTACAAACTAATATAGTGCTAGCTAGGGGTGTGCTGAATTATTGGAGGTGCCATTATTCAAATGAGACGTTAAGCTGAGGTCCTGTTACCCTGTTCAGGTGGACGTTAAAGATCCTATGGCACGTTTTGAAAAAGAGAAGGGAGATTTTTCCAGTGTCCTGGCCAACAGATAAAATTGGCCATTTACTTTGTGGCTGTGTGTGGGACACTGCTGCGTGCAAATTAGCTGTCGGGTTCGTCTACCAAATACACAGTCACCACACTTTACAGTATATCCCAAAAGCACTTTGAGTTGTCCTCCTGATGTGAAAGGCGCTATATCAAATGTAAGGAATATTATTATTACATATAGGTGACTAAATCAGGGAAATTCCTGATGGGTGTGTTTCAGGTATTTATTGGATAAACTTGTTGAGACACTGAATAATGTAATCAATTGATCTTTGCGAAAGCTATACTAGAATTTAATTAATCAGGGGCAGGAGCGGAGGAAGAGACATACTCCCATGGTACATAACCCAGACCTGTGGCTGGCAAGGAGGAGACTATTCATCTCCTCTCCCTAAAGAAGATGTATTGAGAGCTGACCGTCAAACATGTAGAATAATTCACCAGAAGAAAATTTACATGATTTTTGTTTGATAAAATTTAAATGATTGATTTGAAAACTACTGTAACAGGGAAAGTTCATACTGTAGAACATTGCAGGCCATGATTTCAACCTGTAGGCTGTATATCCTCTATTAGACCACAAGAGGGAACAGTACAATCGTGAGGTGTTTCATCTCAGGCCAGAGTGGAAAGCTGTGTTCAGTTTGATCCAGATTCAAAGCAGCTGATGCTGAAGATCTTGGTTTCTATCTGCACCATTAAAAAAGGCATTATTCACTGTGGCTAGGACAGAGTAGGATATTCAAATACAAATCTGAGGAGGAAACCCAGCTACGCAAATCGCTAGCTTTCAAATCAATTTCAGAATTAAGCTGATTTGAGCAAATAAAAGATTTAATCAAAGTTCATTTGGAATTGAGCCCTCCACAAGGGATTGAGTGCGCTCACCAGGAGCAATGTAGAAGTGTTGAATTCTCAATATTAGCTAATAGGGAATCTTCAAAATGCATCATTTTGCACTCATTGTGTACACTGCAAAATTATTATTGTATCTTTTGGATTATCA